TCCGGATGCGTAAAGGTCTGGCGGATGCCTCGCGCACGACAGTAGGCTCGTAGAAGGCCAGAGGAGAACTCTCCACCTCGGTCAGAGTGCGGACGCAGGACAGGAAAGTCCGAGCCGAAGCTCCTCCTGAGCTGGAGACGAGCTGCGCGGATCCAGTCGGTCAACACCTCAGTGACATCACCCTTGCTGCGCAAGGGGAAGACTGTGGTGTAACGCGAGTAGTCGTCAACCACCACCAAGAAGTAGCGCTCGTGGCCCTGTCTACGGACGCGGGCCGGGCCCCACACGTCCATGTGAAGCGTCTGCAGAGGAGCCTCTGTCGGGGGAAACTGGGAGGAGTGAGGGGCAGCCCTGAGCCGCCCCTCGACACAGGGGACACAGGAAGGTCCTGGCCCCGAAGGAAGGAGAGGGAGAGACCGAGGGAGACCAGAGACAAGGACACGGGAAGCCATGCCCCGAAGACGAGGCAAGGAGGGGTGGCCAAGACGGTGGTGCCACAGGAGAGTCTCGTGAGACAGGAGGCGACACGAGCAGGGGGCAGACTCAGGACCAGACCTGGACGCGGCAGCAAACACCTGACTCGACGCAGCTACCTGACCAGACGCAGTGACTGGAGGAGACGCAGTGGTCAGTGTGTACAGGCTCGACCCCGGCCGACGTGTAAACGTGGCCAGGTGTCGGCCTGTCCGAGCGTCCGTGCAGTGGGTCACCCGCTGACTCGCAGGAGTGAACTGGTGAACCCCCGTATCCTGCAGGTCAGCACCACTCACCAAGTTCGTCGAGAACAAGGGGAGGTACAGACCAGACAGGGTGCCCGAGGGGGCAGCCGGACACGGGAGGATAGTGGAGAAGTGAGAGAGGACAGGGCCCCCAGAGGGGTCAGCCAGGGAGACTGCAACCGGCCGACCAAGCGGCGTGAGTGTGGTGCGGTCTCGAAAGAAGGAGCGAGAAGCCCCTGAGTCAAGTGTGAAGGTGAGGGAGGCCGAAGCCGACGCAATACTTGAGAGCGCAGCCTCACCAGCACCTAAGAGCGCAGACGCACTGACACCTAGAGCAGCAGCCTCACTAGTACCTAGCGGAGCAGTACCAATGCCCGGGTCGGGCGGGAAACACCGGTAACGGTCACCCTCATCACTAATAGTCACAGCATACATGGCAGCAAGGATAGCATCAAAGTCAAGATCAAAGATAGCTATGCCAGCCCTAGACAGCTCTCCCCAGCGGGGAATCTCACTAGCCTCGGGGAACTGCTGACGCCAAGCGTCCGTCAGGCGGCCAAAGCAGCGCTGGGTGGGGTGGGCACCCCCACACTGCTCACCCGCGCGGTCGCCGGAACGAAGGACGTAGGTGCACGGACCAAAACCCCCACCACGCTGACGCTGCGCGTACCACTCACGGAGCTGCTGAGGCGGGGGGATGTCCCGAGAACGCTGCTGCTGCTGCTGGCGCTGACCACCACCAGAGCCGCTCCGCTGCGGGGCACCACCCCGACCAGCTCCACCCCCTCCGCCACCGCCGCCTCCACCTCCGCCACCACCGCCGCCTCCGCTCCCACCGCTGCCGCCGCCACCGCCTCCGCCTCCGCTGCCGCCACCACCACCACCGCCCCCGCCACCACTCCCACCGCCACCCCCACTCCCTCCGCCGCCTCCACTGCCACCTCCACCGCCCCCGCCAGCTCAAACCGCGCCCTTGCCCCCTTTGCCCTTGCCAGGTCGGCGTCTCCCGCTAGGGGCAGACGCCGCGCCGACCGACTCAAGACCAAGCAGGTCGGCAGCAGCAGCAGAGGCAACAGAGGGCAGCAGGGGGGAAGGAGAACACCCCTCAAAGATGGGGGTGCGGGGGTCACCCCGAGAGGCTGCTACAGCGACGATGCTCTTCTCCGCCGCCAGGAGGGCCTTCTCGAGGAGGTCAACAGTGAGAGTGGTGGGACAGACTGAGAGAAAGTGGTCCCTGACTACGCGAAGGGAGTCAGGGAGGCGTGTGACTATGTAATAGAGAGTGATGTACATGGGGGGGGGGTTCTTGGCGCAGAACTCAGCAGGAAGTGCGGCGCGGTAGCGAGTGTCACTAGTGCGGAGGTGCGTAATGAGGTCGGCGACTGTGGGAAAGGCAGCAAGGTCAGGAAAGAGGTACGGTAGTATGAGGCGGCTCAGTGCAGCAGTGGCAGGAGAAGAGTAGCGCGTAACTACAGCGTCGTACAAGGTCTGAGCACTCTTGTACTGACTAAAGTGCGCGCGCTCAGTGGTAGGCAGGTGGCGACGCACAGCAAGACGTGCAGCAGCATCGCGGGTGGCCCACTGAGAGCGAACAGTGGGGTCAGCATCAGTAGCAGGGGCAGGAGAGGCGCCAGAGGTGAGGTCAAAGAGAGAAAGACCGTCCGCCCTATCGCACTGTAAAAACAGCTGCAGGTCGTCGACCCAGACCTCAAAGTCAATGGCTCGACCCTCAGCGTCAAAAGTGAGGACACTAGGGGTAGCCATGACGACGATAGACTAGCAGTGCAAGCAGTAGGGGAAGGGCACGCAGTGACAGTGGGGCTGTGCTCACCGGACAGGGCAGGTCGGGCGGCTCGGTAGTAGGGCGGCTCGGCTGCTGGGCGGCTCGGCGGCTGGGCGGCTCGGCGGCTCGGCGGCTCGGCGCTCGGCTGCTGGGCGGCTCGGCTGCACAGCGGCTCGGCGGCTGGGCGGCTCGGCGCTCGGCTGCTGGGCGGCTCGGCTGGTGGGCGGCCGGGCGGCTCTGCAGCTGGGCGGCTCGGTCCTCCGGTACTCGGCGGCGCGGTGAGGTGTAGGGCGGCGGGGCCGAGAAGTGTAGGGCGGTGGGGCCGAGAAGTGTAGGGCGGCGGGGCCGCGAGGTGTAGGGCGGCGGGGCCGCCAGAGCAGGGCGGCAGGGCCGCGAGGTGTAGGGCGGCGGGGCCGAGAAGTGTAGGGCGGCGGGGTCGCGAGGTGTAGGGCGGCGGGGCCGCTAAAGCAGGGCGGCGGGGCCGCGAGGTGTAGGGCGGCGGGGCCGCTAAAGCAGGGCGGCGGGGCCGCGAAGAGTAGGGCGGCGGGGCCGCTAGAGCAGGGCGGCGGGGCCGCGAGGTGTAGGGCGGCGGGGCCGCAAGGTGTAGGGCGGCGGGGCCGCTAAAGCAGGGCGGCGGGGCCGCGAGGTGTAGGGCGGCGGGGCCGCTAAAGCAGGGCGGCGGGGCCGCGAAGTGTAGGGCGGCGGGGCCGCTAGGTGTAGGGCGGCGGGGCCGCTAAAGCAGGGCGGCGGGGCCGCGAAGTGTAGGGCGGCGGGGCCGGTAAAGCAGGGCGGCGAGGCCGCGAATCAGGGGCGGCGGGGCCGCGACAGTAGGGCGGCAGGGCCGCTAAAGCAGGGCGGCGGGGCCGGTAAAGCCGGGCGGCGAGGCCGCGAATCAGGGGCGGCGGGGCCGCGACAGTAGGGCGGCAGGGCCGCTAGGGGAGGGAAGGCCGCTAGGGCGGCTCGTCGAGTTAACAGCCCGAGGCGCGACTCGGGATGAGCGCGCTTCGGGCAGTAAAAAAAATCGAAGTGGTGGGCCCTATGCGCAGTTCCCACAGTGGAACCTGCTCTGATACCATGAGAAAAGTTGAACGAGAATGCATGAGCTATGAATGAAGTGGGTACAAGTACTAACCCTAATTGGGTTGTACCCCCTATGGGATACCCCACTACAGCCTACACAAATGTATAAGCTATATAATGTTCTGACAGACGAGGCCCCATCGCCACAAATCGTCATAGACGATCGAGCACCGTTGTGTGAAGGTCAGCTATACTCCTCTAAGAAATTTTTGTACGAAGCACTAGAGGACTATTCGGTAGCTTGCAACTTTGGTTTTAGGGTTACGAGGAGTAGGCGAAACAGAGCCCAGGCCATATGCATGAATAAACATGAGCGTCGTAAACCTGCGTGCCGGTGGCGATGTGAGTACTCTACTGACGGAGTGGGTGGGTTTTGGCGTGTTGACAAACTGTCCGCCCCATCATCCCATTGCTGCTCAGTCGTTGATCGGGACCGCTACGTGCAACACACGACAAATAAAGTGTCATATCTGCAGCGTCATCACGGCAATCTTGTCCAAGCTGCACCACATTGTCAGAACATCATAGCTTATGCTATTGTGTAGGCTATAGTGGGGTATCCCATAGGGGGTACAACCCAACTAGGATTTCATATTTGTACTCGCTTCATTCATAGTTCACATTATTCTCGTTCTAATCTTCTCATGGTATCAGAGCAGGTTCCCCCTTGGGAACTGTGCTTAGGGCCCACCACATCGAGTTTTTTTTTTCCTGCCCGAAGCGCGCTCAGCCCGAGTCGCGCTCCGGGCCCTCACTTCGTCGAGCCGCCCTAGCGACCCTCTCACTTCGGCCCCGCCACCCGTCTCTGCGGCCCCGCCGCCCGTCTCCGCGGCCCCGCCGCCTCTCTAGCTGCGGCCCCGCCGCCTCTCCCTGCGGCCCCGCCGCCCGTCTCAGCGGCCCCGCCGCCCGTCTTCGCGGCCCCGCCGCCTCTCTCGCTGCGGCCCCGCCGCCTCTCACTGCGGCCCCACCGCCCGTCTCAGCGGCCCCGCCGCCCGTCTTCGCGGCCCCGCCGCCTCTCACTTCGGCCCCGCCGCCCGTCTCTGCGGCCCCGCCGCCCGTCTCTGCGGCCCCGCCGCCCGTCTCCGCGGCCCCGCCGCCTCTCTAGCTGCGGCCCCGCCGCCTCTCACTGCGGCCCCGCCGCCCGTCTCTGCGGCCCCGCCGCCCCTCTCGTTGCGGCCCCGAGCCCTACCAGCGGCCCTACGGCCCTACACCGCCCGCGCCACCCGAGCTGCCCGACCCGCCCGAGCCGCCCGAGCCGCCCGAGCTGCCCGACCTGCCCGAGCCGCCCGAGCCCGCCTGAGCTGCTGAGGAGCCGAGCCGCCCGACCCGCCCGAGCCGCCCGAGCCGCCCGAGTCGCCCGAGCCCCCTGAGCCGCTGAGGAGCCGAGCCGCCCGACCCGCCCGAGCCGCCCGAGCCGCATGAGCCGCTGTGGAGCCGAGCCGCCCGAGCCGCCCGAACCGCAGTTGCTGCTGAGCCGTCCGAGCAGCCGCGTTGCTGTGCTGCTGAGCTGCCCGACCCGCCCTGTCTGGTGAGAGCAGCGCTCCTGTCACTGCACTGCCCCTGTCCTACAGGTAGTACTGCTAGGCTACTGTCGTCATGGCTACCCCTAGTGTCCTCGCTTTTGACGCTGAGGGTCGGGCCATTGACTTTGAGGTCTGGGTAGACGACCTGCAGCTGTTCTTATAGTGCGATAGGGCAGACAGCCTCTCTCTCTTTGACCTTACCTCTGGCGCTTCCCCTGCCCTGCTGCTGATACTGACGCAACTGTTCGCTCCCAGTGGGCCACGCGCGACGCTGCTGCACGTCTTGCTGTGCGTCGCCACCTCCCTACCTCCGAGCGTGCGCACTTTAGTCAGTACAAGAGTGCTCAGACCTTGTACGACGCTGTAGTCGCGCGCTACTCCTCCCCTGCCACTACTGCACTGAGCCGTCTCATGCTACCGTACCTCTTCCCTGACCTTGCTGCCTTTCCCACCGTGGCTGACCTCATTACGCACCTCCGCACTAGTGACACTCGCTACAGCGCTGCACTCCCTGCTGACTTCTGCACCAAGATCCCCCCCCCCCATGTACATCACTTTGTACTTCCTAGTCACTCGCCTTCCTGACTCCCTTCGTATAGTCAGGGACCACTTTCTCTAAGTCTGTCCCACCACACTCACTGTCGATCTCCTCGAGAAGGCCCTCTTAGCAGCGGAGAAGAGTATAGTCGCTGTAGGAGCCTCTCGAGGTGACCCGCGCACCCCCATCTTTGAGGGGTGTTCCCCCTCCCCCCTGCTGCCCTCTGTTGCCTCTACTGCTACGGCCGACCTCCTTGGTCTTGAGTCGGTTGGTGCGGCGTCTGCCCCTAGCGGGAGACGCCGCCCTGGCAAGGGCAAGGGGGGCAAGGGAGCTGGAGGAGCGGGCGGTGGAGGTGGAGGTGGAGGCGGTGGGGGTAGTGGGGGTGGCGGTGGGAGTGGAGGTGCGGGTGGGGGGGTCGGTGGCGGCGGTGGAGGCGGAGGCGGCGGCGGCGGTGGCGGTGGGAGCGGAGGTGGCGGAGGAAGCGGCGGTGGAGGCGGCGGTGGAGGCGGCGGTGGAGGCGGCGGCAGTAGCGGAGGCGGCGGAGGCGGTGGGGGTGGCGGTGGAGCTGGTCGCGGGCCTTCGCAGAGGAGTGGCTCCGGTAGTGGCGCGCGCCAGCAGCAGCAGCGCGGTCATGAGACCGTGTCCCCTCAGCAGCTCCGTGAGTGGTACACTGCACGCCAGCGGGGTGGGGGTTTTGGTCCGTGCACCTACGTCCTGCGCACCGGCGACCGTGCGGGTGAGCAGTGTGGGGGTCCGCACCCCACCCAGCGCTGCTTTGGCCGCCTGACGGACGCGTGGCGTCACCAGTTCCCGGAGGCCTCAGAGATTCCTCGCTGGGGCGAGCTGTCTAGGGCGGGTGTTGCCATCTTTCATCTTGACTTTGATGCTATTCTCTCTGCCATGTATGCTGTGTCTCATAGTGATGAGGGTGACTGCTACCGCTGTTTCCCGCCCGATCCGGGCATTGAGGCTGCTGCCCTAGGTGCTTGCAACGCTGCTGCTCTAGGTGCTAGTGTGTCTGCGTCCTCAGGTACTGGTGAGTCTGCGCTCTCAGGTACTACGTCGGCTTCGGCCTCCCTCACCTTCACTCTTGACTCTGGGGCGTCTCGCTCCTTCTTTCGGGACCGCACCACACTCACGCCGCTTAGTCGGCCGATTGTGGTGTCTCTGGCTGACCCCTCCGGGGGTCCTATACTGTCTCGCTTCTCCATAGTCCTCCCGTGTCCGGCGGCTCCCTCTGGCACCCTGACTGGTCTCTACCTCCCCTCATTCTCGACGAACCTGGTGAGTGGTGCTGACCTACAGGATGGGGGAGTACACCAGTTCACTCCTGCGCGTCAGCGGGTGACGCACTGTACAGAGGCTAGCACAGGCCGGCACCTGGCTACGTTTACCCGTCAGCCGGGGTCGAGCCTGTACACACTGACCACTGCGTCTCCTCCCGTTACTGAGTCTGGTAGAGTCGCTTCATCCGGTCAGGTGTTTGCTGCAGCGTCTAGGTCTGGTCCTGTTCTGCCCCTTGTTCGTGTCGTCTCTTGTCTCATGAGACTCTCCTCTGGCACCACCGTCTTGGTCACCCCTCTCTGCTTCGGCTCAGAGGCATGGCCTCCCGTCTTCTTGTGTCTGGTCTCCCCCGGTCCCTCCCTCCCCTTCCTCAGGGCCCTGGCCCTGCCTGTGTCCCCTGTGTCGAGGGGCGCCAGCGGGCTGCCCCTCACTCCTCCCAGTTTCCTCCGACAGAGGCCCCGTTGCAGACGCTTCACATGGACGTGTGGGGCCCAGCCCGCGTCCGTGGACAGGGTCACGAGCGCTACTTCCTGCTCGTTGTTGACGACTACTCGCGTTACACCACGGTCTTCCACTCGCGCAGCAAGGGTGATGTCACTGAGGTGCTGATCGACTGGATCCACGCAGCTCGTCTCCAGCTCAGGCGGAGGTTTGGCTCGGACTTCCCTCTTCTGCGTCTGCACTCGGACAGAGGCGGAGAGTTTTCCTCTGGCCTACTGCGAGCCTACTGTCGCGCACGAGGCATCCGTCAGACCTTCACGCTTCCGGACTCACTGCAGCAAAATGGGATTGCTGAGCGCCGCATTGGCATGGTCATGGACGTCGCTCGTACGTCTATGATGCATGCGGCTGCCCCCCATTTTCTGTGGCCGTTTGCGGTGAGGTACGCGGCGCATCAGATCAACCTCCACCCCAGGGTCTCCAGGCCGGAGACCTCCCCAGCCTTACTGTGGACGGGGAAGGTTGGCGATGCGTCGGCGTTCCGGGTCTGGGGATCTCGGGCGTTTGTCCGCAACTTGTCTGCGGACAAGCTGTCCCCTCGTGCTGCTCCTTGCGTCTTCCTGGGGTTCCCCCCTGACGCGCCTGGGTGGCAGTTCTACCACCCCACCTCTCGATGTGTTCTGTCCTCCCAGGACGTCACGTTTGACGAGTCGGTCCCCTACTACCGCCTCTTCCCCTACCACACTCCGTCCCTCCCCCCACCCCCGCTCTTCCTTGTACCAGGTCCCCCCCAGGTAGACTCCCTCCCCCCTCAGGGTCCTGCCCCTTCAGGTGTGTCCCAGGTAGACGCAGTCGAGCCTGTCGAGGTCACTGGTGACTCTGGTGCTGCTGGGGGTGCTGAGCCTGGGGGTGCTGGACCTTGGGGTACTGCGTTTGGGGGTGCTGAGCCTGGGGGTACTGAGCGTGGGGGTGCTGAGCCTGGGGGTGCTGAGCCTAGGGCTGCTGAGCCTGGAGGTGCTACGCCTGGGGGTGCTGGGAGTGGAGGTGCTCCGCCTGGAGGTTCTCCGGTTGCTTCTTCTCGCCGGGAGCCACTCTCTCCACAGGAGCTGCGCGAGCGGTTTGCCCAGCGCTGGCGCCGTACTACTGGTGCTGGAGGTTCTTCGCCTGCTGAGGGTGCTGCGGTCGCGGGTCCCGGAGGTGCTCGTACTGGGAGTACTGGAGCTGCTGGGCCTACGGGTTCGACTGGAGCAGGTGCTGCTGAGGGTGTTGGCGCTGAGACTACAGCTGGCGGTCCTACTGGGGGTGCTCCATGTGTTGCTGGAAGTGCTGCTAGAGCGGGTGCTCCTGCTGAGGGTACTGGTGCTGTCCCTGCTGCTTCTAACGTCGTCACGCGGCCTCGTCCGTACTTTGTTCCACTCCTGCAGCAGGTTCTTGGTCTTCCTCCTTCTACTGGTCCTCCTCCTCCCTTAGAGTGTCCACAGCCTGTCCTATCACAGTCACAGCTACAGCCTTCCTCCCCTCTGCCTGCTCCTTCTCCCTACGCTGGTCCTACTAGAGGTCTTACTGAGCGTCGTAAGCCTACGTCTCGTCCTGCGTCGCCTGTTAGAGCTGCTCGCGCTAGTGGTCGCAGTTCGCACCAGCGTCCTCCTCCTGTCCCTGGCACGCACCGGATGTCTTTGCGTCCGTCTACTGCTCCTCTGCGTGCCCCTTTGCCTTCCCCTCCTGAGTCCTCTCTTCCTGCACTTGCCGACCCTGAGTCGGACTTTCTTCGTGCTGCCAGTCCTACTGTCACGCGTCTCCTTGCTACTGTTGTCACTGACCCTTCTTTCGAGTCTACTGCTGCGTCTGCTCTCGTTACTGAGCTTGTCGACTTTGCTGCTTGCTGTCGCTTAGACTACGCTGCTAGTCTTGTCGCTGAGTCTGAGTCTGTCTGTCCTCCGTCCGTCGGGGGTGAGTGTGCCCTTGGCACGGACGTCCTTGAGGACAGGCAGGAGGAGTTCCAGTGTCTGGCAGCTGCTTCACCTCATCTCGTGTCCGTACTGCTTACCCCTGAGGGAGACCCGGATGCACTTGACATCCCGACTCCGCGCTCTTACGCGGAGGCGATAGAGGGTCCCTACTCCTCTCAATGGCAGGCAGCTATGGATGCAGAGATGGCTTCCTGGAAGTCCACAGGCACCTACGTTGACGCTGTCCCCCCTCCTGGGGCGAACATCGTCAGTGGCATGTGGATCTTCAGGGTGAAGCGGCCGCCGAGTTCTCCGCCTGTCTTCAAGGCGCGTTACGTGGCTCGTGGCTTCAGTCAGCGGCAGGGAGTTGACTACTTTCAGACCTTCTCCCCCACCCCGAAGATGACCACTCTTCGGGTACTGCTGCACATTGCTGCTCACCGTGACTACGAGCTCCACTCTCTCGACTTCAGCACAGCTTTCTTGCAGGGCAGCCTGCACGAGGAGATCTGGCTGCGCCGCCCACCTGGCTTCACTGGGTCTTTCCCTCCTGGTACCCAGTGTAGTCTCCGGCGTCCAGTCTACGGTCTCCGCTAGGCGCCACGTGAGTGGCACGACACACTGAGGACTACGCTTGCGGCTCTTGGGTTTGCTCCTTCTACTGCCGACCCATCGCTGTTTCTGCGCACCGACACCTCTCTACCGCCGTTCTACATCCTCGTGTACGTCGACGACTTGGTCTTTGCCACAACTGACACTGCTGGACTCGCCTACGTGAAGTCCGAGCTGCATAAGCGACACACGTGCACAGACCTGGGTGAACTACGCAGCTATCTTGGCTTGCAGATCACCCAGGACAGAGCACGCCGCACCATTACCCTGACTCAGTCACACATGGTGCTGCAGGTCCTTCAGCGCTTCGGCTTCACGTACTCCTCGCCTCAGGCCACTCCTCTGCCTACTCGCCACTCACTCTCAGCTCTGCCTTCGGATGAGTCCGTAGAGTCGAGTGGCCCGTATCCAGAGCTTGTTGGCTGCCTCATGTACCTGATGACCTGCACACGACCTGACCTTGCATACCCTCTTAGCATTCTTGCACGCTATGTTGCTCCTGGGAGACACCGACCAGAGCACATGGCTGCAGCCAAGAGGGTGTTGCGCTACTTGTGCAGTACGTCGGGCATGGGGCTAGTGCTTGGAGGGCGGAGTCCAGTGGTCCTCACTGGGCACGCGGACGCTTCTTGGGCTGACGACCAGGCTACGCAGCGGTCGTCACAGGGTTACACCTTCAGTCTTGGTTCCGGCTCTGTTTCGTGGCGGGCTACCCGCTCGTCTTCTGTTCTCGGCTCCAGTTGTGAGGCTGAGATCTACGCCGGGGCTGTGGCTGCCCAGGAGCTTCGCTGGCTCACCTACCTGCTGACGGACCTTGGAGAGTGTCAAAATCAGCGAACAGGAATGGATGAACTAGAAGTGAAAAGAGTACAAGTAGTAAACCCTAGAATTGTGTACCCCCTATAGGCTAACCCACTGTAGCCTACACAAGTATAACATATATAATGTTTGACACACCCTCATAGGCAAAGTGGGGGAGAACAAGGGGTCACAAGACCAGTCAAGCAAAGCAAAGCAAGCTCAGGGTGGATCACAAAGTCACCACACAGTCCGAGCACAAGAGCAGGGCCAGAGGCCAGTTCACATGCAGGAGTACAGACATATATATAAAACTAGACAAGCAAGAGCAGGTATATATATATATATGTCACAGTACAAGTAAAGTCAAGAGGAGAGCAAGTGAGGCAAGACAGACACAAGACCCAGCTGGGTGCAAAAGCGCTGATGATCACAAGGCGCGAGTGCCTTGGTGAACACATCAGCAGTGTTGGCCTCAGAGGCCACGTACGCAAGTCGCAACTGACCACGCTGCTGCAGCTCACGAGCAAGGAAGTAGCGGAGAGCAATGTGCTTCGTTCTGTGCTCCAAGCGCTGCTCTCGACACAAGGCCAGCATGGCCTTGTTGTCTACGTACAGCACTGGAGGAGAACGAGGCGGCTCTCCAAGGTCAGTCAGCAGGTAGGTGAGCCAGCGAAGCTCCTGTGCAGCCATGGCCCTGGCGTAGATCTCAGCCTCACAACTGGAGCCGAGAACCGAAGACGAGCGAGTAGACCGCCACGAGACAGAGCCGGAACCAAGGCTGAAGGTGTAACCCTGTGACGACCGCTGCGTAGCCTGGTCGTCAGCCCAAGAAGCGTCCGCGTGGCCGGTAAGGACCACTGGACTCCGCCCTCCAAGCACAAGCCCCATGCCCGACGTACTGCACAGGTAGCGCAATACCCTCTTCGCTGCAGCCATGTGCTCTGGTCTGTGTCTCCCAGGAGCAACATAGCGTGCAAGAATGCTCAGAGGGTATGCAAGGTCAGGTCGTGTGCAGGTCATCAGGTACATGAGGCAGCCAACAAGCTCTGCATACGGACCACTCGACTCTACGGACTCATCCGAAGGCAGAGCTGAGAGTGAGTGGCGAGTAGGCAGAGGAGTGGCCTGAGGCGAGGAGTACGTGAAGCCGAAGCGCTGAAGGACCTGCTGCACCATGTGTGACTGAGTCAAGGTAATGGTGCGGCGTGCTCTGTCCCGAGTGATCTGCAAGCCAAGGTAGCTGCGCAGTTCACCCAGGTCTGTGCACGTGTGTCTCTTCAGCAGTTCGGACATCACGTAGGCGAGTCCAGCAGTGTCCGCTGTGGCAAAGACCAAGTCGTCGACGTACACGAGGATGTAGAACGGCGGCAGTGAAGTGTCGGTGCGCAGAAACAGCGACGGGTCAGCAGTAGAAGGAGCAAACCCAAGAGCCGCAAGCGTAGTCCTCAGTGTGTCGTGCCACTCACGCGGTGCCTGGCGGAGACCGTAGACTGGCCGTCGGAGGCTCCACTGGGTGCCAGGAGGGAAAGTCCCAGTGAAGCCAAGTGGACGGCGCAGCCAGATCTCCTCGTGCAGGCTACCCTGCAGGAACGCAGTGCTGAAGTCGAGAGAGTGAAGCTCGTAGTCGCGCTGAGCGGCTATGTGCAGCAGCACCCGAAGAGTGGTCATCTTCGGGGTGGGAGAGAAGGTCTGAAAGTAGTCAACTCCCTGCCGCTGACTGAAGCCACGAGCAACGTACCGCGCCTTGAAGACAGGTGGAGAGCCCGGCGGCCGCTTCACCCGGAAGATCCACATGCCACTGACGATGTTCGCCCCAGGAGGGGGAACTGCGTCAACGTAGGTGCCTGTGGACTTCCAGGAAGCCATCTCTGCATCCATAGCTGCCTGCCACTGAGAGGAGTAGGGACCCTCTACGGCCTCCGCGTAAGAACGCGGAGTCGGGATGTCTAGTGCATCCGGGTCTCCCTCAGGGGCAAGCAGTACAGACGCGAGATGAGGTGAAGCAGCCGCTAGACACTGTAACTCCTCCTGTCTGTCCTCTAGGACGTCCGTGCCAAGAGCACACTCACCCCCGACGGACGGAGGACAGACAGACGCAAACTCAGCAACAAGACCAGCAGCGTAGTCGAGCCGACAGCGAGCAGCAAAGTCAACGAGCTTAGCGACTAGAGCAGACGCAGCAGTGGACTCAAAAGAGGGGTCAGTGACGACAGTAGCAAGCAGACGCGTGACAGTAGGACTGGCAGCGCGAAGAGAGTCCGACTCAGGGTCGGCAAGCGCAGGAAGAGAGGACTCAGGAGGAGAAGGCAAAGGGGCACGCAGAGGAGCAGTGGACGGACGCAGAGACATCCGGTGCGTGCCAGGGACAGGAGGAGGACGCTGACGCGAACCGCGACCACTAGCGCGAGCAGCACGAACAGGCGACGCGGGACGAGACGCAGGCTGACGACGCTCAGCAAGACCTCCAGTAGGACCAGTGTAAGGAGAGGGAGCAGGCAGAGGAGAGGAAGGCTCCAACAGTGACTGCGACTGGACAGGCTGTGGACACTCTACCGAAGGAGAAAGACCAAGAACCTGCTGTAGGAGCGGAACGAAGTACGGCCGAGGCCGCGCGGCAGCTCCAGACTCAGTAGGGACAGCACCAGCACCCTCAGCGACAGCACCAGCGCCACCAACACCTCCAGTGGCAGGACCTCCAGCAGCACCAGCAGCAGAACCACCGCCAGGACAGACAGCAGTAGTCTCAGCACCAACACCCTCAGCAGCTCCAGCTCCAGTAGGACCCGCAGGCCCAGCAGCTCCGGGACCGGCAGCACCAGCACCCTCGACGGTCGACGAAGCTCCAGCTCCAGCAGCACTCCTCCAGCGGCGAGCAAACCACTCACGCAGCTCCTGTGGAGAGAGGGGCTCCCGGCGAGACGCAGCAGCAGGAGAAACCCCAGGCTCAGCAGCTCCAGACTCAGCACCCCCAGGCACAGCCGCTCCAGACTCAGCACCTCCAGGCTCAGCAGCTCCAGACTCAGCACCCCCAGACTCAGTAGCTTCAGCTCCAGTAGGACCCGCAGGCCCAGCAGCTCCGGGACCGGCAGCACCCTCAGCAGGCGAAGAAGCTCCAGCTCCAGCAGCACGCCTCCAGCGGCGAGCAAACCACTCGCGCAGCTCCTGTGGAGAGAGCGGCTCCCGCCGAGACGGAAGAACCGGAGAGCCCCAAGGTCCAGCAGGCGCAGGCTCCGCACCTCCAGGCCCAGCACCCCCAGGCTCAGCAGCTCCTGACGTAGCACCCTCCGGCTCAGCACCCCCCGGCTCAGCACCCCCAGACTCAGCACCCCCCGGCCTCGCACCCCCAGGCTCAGCACCCCCAAGCTCAGCACCCCCAGCAGCAGCACCCCCAGGCTCAGTACCCGCAGCAGGACCAGACTCAGCAGCAACCTCGACTGGCTCGACCGTGTCTACCTGGGACACACCCGAAGGGGCAGGAACCTGAGGGGGGAGGGGGTCTACCGGGGGGGGAACTGGTACCAGGAAGTCCGGTGGGGGGGGAAGGGAAGGAGTACGGTAGGGGAAGAGGCGGTAGAAGGGGACTGACTCGTCGAACGTGACGTCCTGGGAGGACAGAACACGACGAGAGGAGGGGTGGTAGAACTGCCACCCTGGAGCGTCAGGGGGGAAGCCAAGGAAGACACAGGGAGCAGCACGGGGGGACAGCTTGTCCGCAGACAAGTCGCGGACAAACGCCCGAGATCCCCAGACACGGAACGCAGACGCATGCCGACCTTCCCCGTCCACAGTAACACTGGGGACATCGCGGGCCGAGAGACCCTGGGGTGAAGGTTGAGCTGATGCGCCGCGTACCGAACCGCAAACGGCCACAGAAAATGGGGGGCAGCCGCATGCATCATGGACGTACGAGCGACATCCATGACCATGCCAATGCGGCGCTCAGCAATCCCATTTTGCTGTGGAGAGTCCGGAATCGTAAAGGTCTGGCGGATCCCCTGTGCACGACAGTAGTCTCGCAGAAGGCGAGAGGAGAACTCCCCACCTCGGTCAGAGTGCAGACGCAGAACAGGAAAGTCCGAGCCGAAGCTCCTCCTGAGCTGGAGACGAGCCTCGCGGATCCAGTCGATCAGCACCTCAGTGACAGCACCCTTGCTGCGCAAGGGGAAGACTGAGGTGTAACGCGA